CTATAATTAATGCTATAAGAGCAGCTACTCTTAGCCTTTAAATAAAAAATCTTCATGTTACCGGTACTTGTTTATATATTGTAGTTTCGCTCTAAAAATCAGACATGGTGTGTTGTACTATAATCAAATCCATGCACCAAACAAATAATCATACAGATGCTTAAGTAAGTCTATAGAAAAAGAATTGAAAGTTGAAATCAAGATTTTTACTAAATACTGGATTATTCATAACAGAAATGGATACTTTACACCCAACCAGCATAATGTACAGTTATATAGAAAATCTGTTTGTCAAGTAAGAATGAACTGATCCATGTCCCATTATGAGGACAAGGGTCTCTGATAGGAGCCAACATAATCTACTTTGCCAGTAAACGCCACACGCTTCGTCCTAAGAAGCTGATTATAACTGCCAGAGACATGTGGCAAACTGAGATAACATTATAATTCAATGTTGTTACTTCAAAACATTCAATCCATTGGAGACAATCAATAGTGATACAACAACATGATTGGGTTTTCAGTGATTATAAACACTGCCTGCTGATGCAGTTTTTCTCACACATTTGGCTATGTGTAGTCTTTCAGCTACACTATTTCAACATTGTTGCTCCGATATAGCAGCCATCGTGGTGGTTTGTGATTCCTCATAGACAATATCTCATACTGTAGTGCTTGCTGGAGTGATGTAAACATAGAAGACATTCATTGGAATCTACTCTATAATTGATGAATAATAATAAACAAGATACTTACTGTGGTCTATTTTCCAATATGAGGGCAGTGGTACTACTGGCCACTTTCAATGACGACATGCGTTTCTTCCAACTCTTGGATGTAGTTGGTGGGTGTGTCTTGCCTTTTGCTTGGTACTCTTCAGATATGTAGTTTGGTGGCCGTTGGGGAGTCTCTTTTGAGGGAACACGCCCAAATAGCTTCCAGCCTGGGGGACTGCTCGGCGGGATGGGTATATCACAACTCAAATTTGGAGACTTCTTTGCAAAAAGACTCCTATGGGAGAATTAAAAAAAAATATATGTCAAGAGAATCCGCTCACCAAAGCACTGTAAATTGCTTAATTTTTGCGGCAAGACATTTTCAGGAATTTATCAGGACAAAATTTTCCACAAATCATTGTGGCTACATGTGCATGTACCGTTATATGGTTTAGGACCACCAAACAAATTTAGCAAATTTATCCCATATGAAATTAAAAGCTATATATCCATTGAACTTTTAATACAGTTATGTTGTGTAATTTACATTGAATATGCACAAGCACAGATGTGATCTAATGTTTGTTGCCAGTGAAGATAAAAATAATACAGTCACTGCATATCCTGACAATTTTAATTTGACAATCATACATAATTTTAAAATCTTTATAAAGGTCACTCACTAACAATTTCTTGTTGTTGATTGTCTGAATTATTACTCAAAGTAAAAAGATGGCCTGATTAAATGTACAAAGTATTCCTGCATAGACAACGCAAAGGTGCAAACAAACCGACTTTGATCTATATTTATCAGATAAACACAATACACATTGTAAAATTGAGCCATTGTAAAACAATGAAATATTAAGTGACTATGAACACTTAATATCAGGATAAATTCTGGTCAAAAACTGGTATG